GTGGTCTGTGGAGACATCCACACGGTGCTCCCCATCCACAGTCATAACTTTCTTTCTTTCTTTCTTTCTTTCTTTTTTTTTTTTTTTCTAAAATGCAAACAGAAAGGAATGACTCCTGGAAACCTCCTTTGTCATTATGAGCGTTCATGGCTAAAGGCTCCTTCCTATGGTATCCCGTGGTCTGTGGAGACATCCACACGGTGCTCCCCATGGAGGAGCCCGGCCGTGTCAGGCTGAGAGACTGGTGACAGCAAAGTGCTTTTCACAGCCTTTTTTGAAGTCGAGGCGTGATGCCGGCTCGTGAGCTAGAGTGGGATTGGAGCTGGGATAACTTCCTCTGCTGTTTGCGTTCATTAATAAGTAAATCCACTTTTTCTTACACTGCCTGTCTTGGTTTGCTTCTTCCTTTTGTCTTTCTTTTCCTGCATAATTTCGCATGTATAAATAGTAACTAGAATTTCCATTTTTTTCCTTTTTTATCTCTTCCTCGCCGCTGTTTTCAGATGTGCTAGTGGCTGTGTTGGTGCTTGGTGCCTGGGCTGGCATCCCTCTGTRGGTTGTTTTTGCAGGGCAGCAAGAAGGATGGCTCCCTGTGCAGACCATGTGTGCAGAGCCATATTGCTGGGGAGGGAAAAAAAACCCMAAAGATGATGATTTTGGTGTCCCTGTGCTCCTATGGTGATTCTGGTGACTCCCAAGAGCCAGGTGACTCTGGCTGTTGGGCTCAAATGCCCCCTTGCTTCCCCTGGCTTTCACTTGCTGATGCTGCTCCTCCCTGTGCAGCCCTAGCGCTATCRTATAAGGCTAGGGCTTATAGATAGTTGAATTTTTTGATATTTCAGGCAGAAAGAGCAGGAGTAGAACCCTGTTTTTTTTTTCTCCTCCAGAAGTCGTTTTGTAGCGAGATCATTACTTTTTATTTTTCCCAGGGGTTAATTTCTGCCCTACCCTGAGGAAACGCATGCTCTGCCAAACCTCTTTATAACCTTTTCTTTTAAAAGACTCAGTTCCATTGCGTAGTCGTATTTGTGTGGCAGTTGCCTGCCTAATTTTGTGAGACTTTGAGAAGAAGAGGCTGGAGTCTGATGGGCTCATGAGAGCAGAACAGAAAATACYGGATAATTAAGCAGTAATAAATATCCCATGTAATACCCGCTCTGTTCCAGCTGTAATCACCTATTGAACGAGGTTGGATTATAATTTATATCTCTTTAATTAGGTTTTAAAAAGATCAGCACTTAACCTGGCTTCTGAGCAGACGTGTTTCCTTTTCCCCGCTTTGCTGAGCACTAAAAACCAGTAATGCTCGATTTCTCAGTCATGGAATTTAAATGAAAAAAAAAAAAATAAAAATAGTATTGATGTAGCTGTGGGGAGGGAAATCCAATGTGTTTAAAGTTTGAATYACTGCTTTCATCTGTTGCATGATTTGCATCATGCTTCAAACTGTTAGGGAGAGGCAATATCCCTGGGAAAGCTGCTGTTTTGTGCTGATAGGAGTGAGCTGGAGCAGCGGGGGAGAGCCAGGACCCGGTGGCCGTGTTGGAATCATAATGGGACATTCCCGAGATGCAGACACGATCCTGACTAAGGAGTTGACCATAACTGCCTGCAGAGCATCTCAAACTTTTTTTTTTTTTTTTAAACATTTAATCCACAGAAATTATCTTCCCATAGATAGGTTGTATAGCGGAAGTGAATAATTGTCCGTCAAAGCAAAACATAATGCTTTAAATTCACTAGTGAATTTTCTTTTCAGTTAGAAAAAATTCTATGTGAGCAGAGAGAGGAGAAAGCAGGATGCTAAACACTGAAGAAACTATTGCAGTGCTAGGGAGACCRGCTGTTTGTGTTTCAAGCATATGCAGAATTGCTGGAGCGTTTCCCGTGCCATTCCCTGGGCGCCTGTAATGTCACAGGGAGCTGCTCCTGCCCCAGGAGGGCTGYGTCCCGCTCCTCCTTGCCCACGAGACTGGTGTTTTGGAGGGTCTCAGGCTCGTTTGCTTTGTGCCATGTGGGTATTGCTGGTCTTTCAAAGCTCCATGCGTGGGCATCCAAGTGCAATTGGACACAGCCTGTTGGAGTAGCTCKTGGGACCCTTCCCTAGTGGAAGGGAAACCGTAATGATGCGTAGCGTGAGGAGGAGGTCGTTTGCAAGGGCTGACGCTGGCATTACATGGTGTAATGGCTTGAAACCTTAAGGAAAAGGGAGATGAAACAATCTTGACAGCAAGGGCCATTAAGCAGCAGAGCGGGCTGCCTGGCAGGGAGCTATTGCAGCGGTGGGGGAGCGGGATGAGAGGCTGGAGGGGGAGTTTTGGGATGCAGGGGTGGGTTTGGAGGCTCATACATAGCAGGTTCTGCTGCGTTCCTGGAACCAGGCCATGGTGCTGTTCAGTTTGCTCCAGCATGAGTGCAGCCCTTGTGCCCTGGCAAGCCCAAATGCTTCACGGTGGCTTTGCCCAGTTTTGGGGAGACCTTGGGGTCTGAGGCTCCAGCTGGCTGTGAGTGCCAAAACTCCCTCCCTGCTTGTGGGACTTCTTAAGGTGACCGTTTGGGCTCTACTTTCCGCCTGGGAAAGCAAAATACAACAAGTGGCCAGGATAGGGTGGCAGGGGGAGGTGGGACCTCACCCAAGCCGGGCCTCCTGGTCCACCCTCCGTGATGCTCTGCCCCAAAAGCACCGTGTCCCTGGCTGCTGATGGGAGCCAGCCCTGCTTGCTTGGACCCGTTGCCCGTGCCATGCCGTGCTCGGTCATCGCTGGTAGCTCGCTATCTCCATAAAGCGTTTTAAGCTGTCAGAGATCATCCGCGGGCTCTTTCCTGCCCCTTTGATTGCTCTGCGATGACAGCGTTGTGTCTGTCCTTTTACTTACTTTGCAAAAACAAAAATCCATTTGAAGGGAGAAATTGGCTTAATTGCAGACAAGGAGGAGGGAGGTGAGTAGATGACCTTGCTGCTTCCTATCCCTGGCTCTCGCTTGCAGAGATCTCTTAATTGCCAACCCTTGAAGGCTTTTCTCTATTGGTATTTCCATTAATCTTTGAAGGTTTTTTTTTTTTTTTAATGTGTCCTAATATAATAAATGTAGGAGGAAATAAGCTTCGTATTAAAAAAAAATTACGGCTCTATTGTAATGTTAAAGTGACCATACTAAGTCTTCTTGGCTGTAAATCGACTTAGATTTGGTTTTAAAATACCTATTTAACTTGTGGTTATGTAACCACCCCTTTTGTTAATGCAGTGTCTTGCTGTTAATTCTTTATGTGATTTTATGGGCCTTGTTATTCTTTTTTCAATGCATGAAATAGCTGTTGCTGTGCTCCTCTGCAACTGCGTAGCCCACCTACCCATGAGAGGTGCTTCCTAGGTGCTGGTAATGCTGGCTCTTGGAATTTCAGGATGAGGAAATCCATGTTGTGTGACCTATTTTGCAGAAAGGGAAACTGAGGCAGTGGGTAAGGATGGGAATTGCTGGACTTCCACCTGGACATGGAGTCTCATCTCCAACCTTGGATGCACTTGGCTTAGCAGAACYTACATTTCTTATACTGAGTTCGGCTCCTCCACTCATGTGCAGCACAAATTGCAGGTGAAAAAGCCAAATTCAGGTTGGCTTTTCCCAGCCTGGGCTGCAGGAAGGGAGGAAGGTTTCTGTTGTCACCATTCCTCATTTTGTTCCAGGACATTGTCCAGCATGGTCAAGCCTGGAGGCCGCAGAACTGAAGCAGAAACGGGTGTGAAATGGGAGGTTCTCACTGGTGTCTGGCCCTGGACGGCCGAGGCTCAGTAACGTTTTAAGRGAGTTATTGCTTGCTGCCTAAGCTGGTGCTGGCAGCCTCAGATTAGATGCATTTTACGTGATAAGGCTGTTTGCTTTGATATGGGCACGTTGCTCCGTTTGTGTTTACAGGACCCCAGTTTGCTGTTGAAAGCTGATTAAGTGAGAATGAGATTTGAGTGTGTGTGAATGTGATTTGGTGTTGACACTTTTAGCTTGTCTGGATCAGGAAATTCCTTCCTAAAGTATGAAACCAAAACTATAACATTTTAGGCAAAAAATTGTGCAAATGTTTTAAGTTCCCTTCATCCCCTCCTCCCAGGAAGGGGGGCTTTGGAAAACCAAAGGGAGGAGGCCACCTCTGTGCACGTCCTGATGCAAGTTCTGCCTTGCGTGTGTCCCCAGGGACGGATCTGCAGGTCTGCATCCCGAAGGGCTCCACGTGCTGCTCGCGGAAGATGGAGGAGAAGTACCAGGCGGCAGCGCGCCTCGACCTGGAGCAGCTCCTGCAGGCGGCCAGCGCGGAGCTCAAATTCCTCGTCATTCAGAACGCCGCCCTCTTCCAAGGTGGGATCCGCGCGCCCGGGAAATACCCGTGGGAAATGCCCTTGGTGCCTGTGCCCACCTTGGCTGTTCCTGGTGGAGGTGGTGGTCACCGTGGTGGTCACCGTGGTGGTCACAAGTGGTCGCGTTTGCCTTGGGCTCTTGGGAGCTCCGCTCTTTTCCTAGCTCTCCGTGTTGTCTTTCTAGCAACACTGACCTTTGCCAAGCACTTTCCGTCACAAATGCCTCCTAGTCTGTGTTGTCGCTTAGATCTGCAGGTGTTTTCCAGAGCCTTCACGCTAGTAAAGCTGGTTCCCCTCCATGGTTAATGTGCGGTGAAATGATCGCTCGTTTGATGAGCGCTCTCGTGATGGGAATGCTTCATTCTGTATTAATAGTATTTTTGCCTATATTTAAAAAAGAAAGCATGAGCAACTAAGTGTGGGGTGTTTGTTTTTGKTTTTTTTYTTCATGTTGATATTTTTGCGGAATAATCTGATTTATTTTTGTTTGTGCCTCACTAACAGCAAGACCCAAAGCCTGCCAAAGCCCACGGGATGAGGGCAAAGATCTGTTCTGGCCCATGTATCCCATGTGTCGTGTTTCCCTGAAAGCAGAATGAAATAAAATGTGAGGAGATAACAGTATTTTTTTTTTTTGTAGCACTTCTTAATGCAGTGACTTTTCAGTTCCAATTTGCTAGACCGAACGGGGTAGAGCTGATGAGTCCTCTGGTTTGATAGGTGTAGGAAATGCGGGTTAGCTTCAGAAACGTACTCCAACCAGCTTGGTCACCAAAACCTGCCTCCTCAGCTGCCACTTGRCCAAAACATTGCAGTTTTGCAATTCTTGGGGTGTCAGAAATGAAATGCAAAGTTGTGTCTAGGTGCTAGTGGGGGCACTTGCTGTAGCCATGGACCCTCTGCCTGCTCTGGAGAGAGTCGTGTCCCTTGCTCTGTTTTTTTGGCCCTGGATACCATGGATCTCAAGGACCCTTTCCACACGTGATGGCTTTGAAGCCAATCTTGTTCTGGAAAGCCTTGGTCTAGTGAGTTGTCATTCTTGCAGGGACAAAAACGTATTTCATTGAAACATTCGCGACCCCTCTGCTAAGGACACGATCACTGATTTTAGAGGTCTTTTATACTGCTGTTGCAGAAGAGGAATTTCTATCTAGAGTCATGGAGGAGTTCATTTTAATTAACTTGTATAGAACCTTATGGACAATTCATGAATTTTCCAAATCTGGGTRTTTTTGTTGTGTCTGACTGTACCTGCTCAAGGGCTGCGGATTGGCACCGTTTTGCTTTCAGGTGGGTATTTCGATGGCTCTTTGCATATCCTGACAGCTGCAGAGCCCAAGGCTGTGTCAGCTCCAGAAACTGCATGTTAGACCCTGCTTAGCAGAGTCTGGTCCTTCCTGTCGCCCATGGCCCCCTGTGCAGCGAAGGGCTCTGGCGCTGCAGGGCTGTCAATTCGAGACGTCAAATCCTGCCGCTCATTAAAAACACAAGAGGGAAGCCTTTCTGTGTTCCTTTTAATATTTCTGGCCCCACATCCAAAGGGACTGCTAGTCTGACAAACCACATCTTGCTAGATATTATTTTGCACTAAATTTAATTTCTTCCTGCTGAAGCGAGGGCTACATCTCTGCTGATAAAGATCAAGGGAAATTGCCTGGCATTTACAAAAAAAAAAAAATCTCACCCAGGCCTATCTGTTACAATATTCACTTAGCAAAGTTTATTAGATTATTAGTTTTAGACCCTTGGGCTCTTTCTTCATCGCAGTTAAGGGGGAAAACAGTCTCCCACCACCCTCCCAATTCTCCCGTCACTATATTTGAATGGTACAATTAGAGCCTGGTCTTATCTTGCAGACATTTCTTAAAATTATGAGGATGATTTAAGAAGTGATTTAATCCCTTGGAAACTTGCTGAATTTGACAGTGTTAAAATTGATTATTGCTGCTTCTACCACAGTTAAATCTTACTCCAGGATTTTTTTTTTTTTGCAGGCAGGTCTCTTTATTTCTTTCATGCAGTCTATTGCTATTATCCAGCCCATTTTTGTACTTTCAAKTTCAGGTTCTTGGCTGATCACAAAAATACGCTGGATATCACGGAACTAGACTAATTTACTTTAGTTCAAAACTTGCATGTCTTTTTAAAAAGGATTCTTGCTATTGCTCAGGGGTTCTCCTCCAAATCAGCTAGTTATATTGGTGCAGTTCTCTTCCTGCAGCCAACATGCCTATGGTTTCCTCTTCCTTCTAACCTTACATCTTGCCTTCATGGGGGATTTCTGGCCCTACCTAATCTTTTTCTATTAAAACAACCTTTTTCCCTACTCAACTAATCTTTTTTCTTTTTCACCGAGTTCTCCATTCCTTTCTAGTGTGGGAGCTGGCAAGCAGGTGGCTTTTGTACACATTCATCATATCTGATATTTTCTTTACTTCCTAAGTCACAAGCTGGACTGTGATGGGTCTACGGTTGGAATCAATGATTTTTAAGGTCTTGTCCAACTATAATGATTCTGTGACTCTRAGTTCACGTCTCTTCTCTTGAGTGGTGGCATAAAATTCCCTTGCATATTGACTGTGTTGCACCGTGGATAACCAAAGTGAAGCTGTCAGCTACTCAGCATTAAATTGCTCTCTGGTGATGCACGTGCCTGGTTCTTTGCCAAGGGGAAGACAGAGTTTAARGGGAGAAGATGTGATGGAGAGAAGCACCATCCAAGGGAAGAGGACGTCCGTGTGCATCGCTCCGTGTAGGGCTCGTGTTCCCCTTGCAGCCCGTAGCATGGTTGGGAATGGCACGGTTGGGAAGGGCACAGCGAAGTGCCGGGTGCTTCTGGGGGAGTGATASAGTGTGCTCGTGGAGAAAGTTAATTGCATGATTTTAACGAGGTATCGGCAGGCTCTCATCGTGTGTCTGCTCCCAGAGGGTTTTGGTTTCCTCCCTGCTTGGAGGGCCTGTGGCCATCCTGGCTTGCACTCCCTGGGAGAGGCTCGCGGGGCCTGCAGGGACTTGGGGGCTTTGGGGAGCKGTGGCTCGGGAGTTCCTAGGAAGGCGGTGACTGCATCGGATACAGACAGACCTCCCCGTAGGGCTTTGGAGTCTTCCTGCTCCTGGAGGATGCTGCTTTCTCCCTCCTCCGGAGCTGCATTCCTGGCACTTCTGGCAAAGCAGTGGCTCTGAGGAGGACTCCGATTCATCTCTTACTCTGCTCTGCAGGAGGATAAAGGCAAAGCCATAATTCTTTGTCCTACCAGGCAGGGCTGAAGGCTGTAAATCCCCCCATTAGGCATAAACGCAGCCATTTTGGTTATTTATAGTTATTTACACCACCCATTCATATCTGCCAGAGATGAAGACAGTTTTGACATTGCAGGCTTCTATCAGGTTATCTTTAATCAGTTTAGAGGCACCTAAGCCACAAATATATCAAATAGCCGTTCCGAATGTCGGAGTCCTCCAAAGCATGACTGAATTATTTATTTTGTTATGATGAAAATGTCTGGGCTTTATTGGGTTTTCTTTGAAGAACTTGATTCTGCTTGAAGTCTGGAAGATAAAAGATCAGTGATTGTCTCTCCAAGAGTCTTATTCCGAATCCTTCAAGGCTCTTCATTTTTCACGAGCTGCTGTTACTACTTTAGAGTCAAGGTGAGGGAGCTGCAACTCTCTTTTTTTTTTTTCCCCCTGCTCCCTATTACAGAGGTTTAACTATATAAAAACTTCTCTTTTTGCTGGTTATGCCTGGGATGGGTGAATTTAAGATGCACAGAGCATCCATCAGGTGAGACTGGTGGTGTGGTGGGAGGTGATGGATGTTGATTGCCAGGAAAGGATCCCAGGGATGCTGGTGCTGACATGTAGGCTGCCTGTYTTATTATTTAGTGTATTTAACAGTTGATGCTTCCAAGTCATTTAAGTGTGGCAGTGCGGGTGTTGGGAGGGTGTTGCGGGTGTTGGCGGTGGGATGTGTGTTGGGATCGTGCATCTGGAGCTGCGTCGGTCTGCATGGTCTGCACACTGCCGGGGCATGGGAGGGAGATGSTGGTGAGGAGCCTGGATCCTGGAAAAGCAGGAACCGGTGCGTACACTAGGAAAAACAGCTGYTTTTCTCAGCGTTGTGACTTGGGGGTTCTTCGGTACCCAGGAACAGGTTTATTTGCTTATGGTGCACACTCTGAGAAAAACCTCCCCTGCTGCTGTGCCTTCCTAAGGGATTTGCTGTGCTTGGGGAGCTGACCAAACGAAAGAGGTTTCCCAAAGCGAGCTGCTGTGTCCTACTGTTGGAGGACACATGGCTCCTGATACTACATGATTAATCCAAATACACTCGTCAGCTGTGCCTTGTGCTCGAGGCGCTCTCCRAAATAGTCCCGTGCTTTGTGCTGCGGCAGTTGGAGACGGGGCAGTCTGTCACTTTTGGCAGTATTTACCCGGATCTTGGCTGCCTTCCTCGCTGGCTGAGGCTGCCTGCCCTTCGCTGACAGCTTTACCTGTTGCTCTCCAGCACATCTGTGCTCGATGACAACCTGCATGTGCACAGCTGCAGCAGGACAGCAGTGGATTGCCACTGGACACCAGTATCCTCAGGCTTGTAGAAATACCAAGCTTCTGGAAAAAAACTCTTTTCTTTGTGCTTTAACTGTGTGAAGGTGTCTAACTCTCTATTTTCTTGGTATCTGTTAGTAAAGACATTTATGTGGCAGTGTTTGATGTAACTAGGTGTCTCCAGGTGCTAAATGGCCGGAGAATTAATTACTTTTGGGAAGAGAATATTAAAACTCATTAGACTTCTACAACCAAATAATTACATTACAAATACATTGTACATACATACATTACAAATCGATCTCTGATATCCCAGCTACTGTTCAGTCCTTTACTAACTAAAGCCTTGATGCATCCTTCTCTGCTGCACACCATCGCTGAGTCTCTTCTTTGAAAGTTTCCTGTTTTATTGCTTTTATTAATGTGCGCTTAAAAATAGGCATCATCTCACTG